AAGGCAAAAAAAAAGAGGGACCTTAAAAATGCGAAGGGGGAGACTTTTAAAAAGTGGCGGGGCTTTAAAAAAAGAGGGGAGGGAAAAATTTTTTTTTTCGTCGTGGAAAAAAAAATGAAAAAAAAAGTTTTTTTTTTTTTTTTTTTTTTGGTTTTGGTTTTTCCTTTTCTTTCCCCATGAATTTATTACGTGGAAAATAAAGATAAGAAAATAATGATGATAATAATAATAATAATAATAATAATAATAATTTTTAATCTGAAACGTTTATTATTTCATTTCTATGGATAACACAAAAAAAAAAAAAAAAAGAAAAAAAAAACGGAAAACCGCATTGAAAATTTTTTCTTTTCCTTCTTCCCCTCACCCCCTTGTTTATACACGTGCACACGTTGTAATTTTTTTTTATACGCGGTTCTAATACGACAAGGACGATGATGATGATAACAAATTGCAAACATGTTTAATTCTTTTCACGGAGGTAAAAAGGAAAAAAAATAAAAAGCAAGGATGAGGGGAGTGAGGGGGAGGAAGTGGGGGGGGGGCGTGGCGCAATTGTTAATTTTAATTATATTCCGAAAGTAATTTAACCACTAATATATATAAATCAACGTAATTACAAAATTTCCAAAAGAAAATAGAAATTTTTTTAAATAATAAAGATAACAACAATTCCTTTCTGGAGTCAAAGTTTAAAATTAAAGAATCTAAAAGTTAAATGCAAATAAATTGCCGTTAATTTTACGGCTAATTTAAATTTTATTCAAATGTTAATTTTAAACGTGAAAACCCGGCCTCCTCCTTCTCCTCCCCTTCCCTTTCTACCTCACCTTAAACATGTTTCGAATTGGATACGTCACTGATTGCGGATTCACTCATATACAAACGGACGTTATCCATATTTCAACAGGAACGAAGCAATTTCGGTTGCATTTTTTTTTTCTCCAGACGATTTCCCCCTTTCCCCCACTCATTTTTCGCCTTTCTTTCGTCACTTGACCTCCTCCCCTTCACCCCTCCTCTTCCTTTTCTTCATTTTCATTTTTATCATTATTAATAATTTTTTTTTTTTTTTATGAAATGCATTTAACGCCAATTTGAAAACGGAAAATGTTATTGTTATTATTATTATTAATTAAGTCAGTTAAAAGAGTATAGCATAATAATGATAATAATAATAATAAATAAAAATGCAATTTGAATTTAATTTAAATTTTTTTTTTCACGGAACAAAAACCGAGCGACGTCACGACAGTCGCTGGAAAAAAAATTTTATATATATTATTAGTTTTTTTTTCGCGTTGTCGACATCATGTAATTATTATTATTATTATTATTCATTATTACGTAATAGATTAAAAATAATAATAATAATTTGTTCGTAAGTGGACAACAACAAGAGAGAAAAAAATAAAAAAAGATGAGAAGAAAATAATAATTTTTTTTTTTTTAAATTAAATTTCGAACTTAATTGTTTTTTCAATTTCGCGTAAATTTTTTGTTTAATCAAAGGTATATTTTAAAAAAATTTCCTTTTTTTTCTTTTTTTTCTCTACAAAGGATATTGAAACGAAAGGAAAAAAAATATATATAAAAAAAAATTTTTTTTTTTTTTTGGATGAAATGAAATTATTGACCTAATGGAGTTTTTTTCTCCTCCTCTCTCTCTCTCTCTTTTCTTTTTTCTTTTTAAACCGAATAGGAAACAGAGAGGGAATAGAGAAGGAAGAAAAAGAGGGGAAGGGAAGAGAGAACGAGAAACAAAAAAAGGATATAAAAAAAAAATTTGAATCAAGTTAATTAATTTCTTTGATCTGTTACAAAAAGTTTTTTTTTTTTTTTTTTTGATTTGACTGTAACGTTTGCCCTTGACAGAAACTTTTTTTTTTTTCAAACCCCCTCCCCCCCCCAATTTTTTTTTTTC